AAAGCTCTCGAGATGTGCTATAAGAATATGCAATGAAAAATGGGGTGTTCCATTTAAAAAAATTAATGTGACCTTGACCTGACCTTCGCTACGCAACCCAAGGTCAAACTGATGTGATCAGTAAATACATCTTTTTAAACGCCACAACTTTTGTTTGAAACATTTTTTCTAAAATGCTTAGTTTTCGAGATATTTCACCGGTCCGGGACTTTTTGAGCACCCTGTATATAAATACTTATATTATTTAAAATTTTTGTATAATTTGAATAAACTTCTAGAGAGGTTAAATATAAATACAGCGAAAGTGATATTTACCTTGCCGTCTTTCATTACGATTTCGTCGATTGGCTTGTCCAACATATATGTTCCACCGTAAATAGCACTAAGTCGCGCAAATCCTTGAGGAAGCTCGCCCAAACCATACATCGGATAAAGATACGGCGACTTTCCGTATCGCGCTAAACTATCGCTGTATAGTTTGATCCTCCTGATAGTGATTATCGCGGTTTGGCTGATATAGTCATCGTCCCTGATCGAGAAGTAAACGTTATTTTCACAAGTGGAATGTTAACGGAAAAACACTTCATAAGTTGAAATTCCCTACGAACTACTTTTTAAAATAATATAAAAGGAAAGCATTCCTTTCGATATAGTTCTGTTAAGAGTTTTGGTCTTTTATGACACATTGATTAATGACATTAAAAAACAAGAAAATTTAAAATTCTTGCAATATATCTTGAAACGAAAAAATACATTTGTAAAATAACACGATTAATTAAATAGATTTGTAAAATATTTCGAAAATTTTTTCCCATTCTAATAATTAATAAATAGACGCAAAATTAAAAAAATTAAGTAGATATAAATTTACTTTCTTTTAATGTGATTTTGTTTTGTTAATTTTATCGCTATTTATAGATTATTGAAGTAAAAAAATTGTTTAGAATATTTTGCAAATTTGCTAAATCGCACTACAACTAATTGCAAATGTTATTTCGTGTATTTAACTTTTCTTTCATCTTATTTTACAAGAATTTTCAACGTGCATTTTCTCGTTTCTGACGTTATTACTCCAGATGGTCGTAGAGAGACAACTAAAATCGTAACTGTACAAAATTAATTCTATAAGTTCTTCATTAATGTCAGTACCTGTACAACGCTAACGCGTGTCCAGTGAAGTCCTGCGTGTTCTTGTCAAGACTGAATTTGTTGTATAGCGCGCTCATGCTGTTATTGAAAGGATCGAAACCATCCCACGTCTTCGAATCATCTTCTTGCATATTCTGTACCCACATAAGGAAGCTGCGAAAGCGTCGCTTTTCAAACAAGCCCATCAAATCGCTGGACAAGGCTTCCTGCTGATCGATTGGTACTTTGGAGATCTTCCCCGATTTGTACACGTAGGAACCCTCCACCGACTTAAACTCCAAATAACGCGTCACTCCAGTGTGAATGAGCAGTTTGACGAGAAGACCGTTCGCCATCAGGAATTTAGGAATCAAGTCGACGTTCCAATCTCGACCGCGGCCATAACTCTTGTCCGGTGACGGGGCTTTGAACTTGCTAAATGAACAAACATTAATTTGAGTAAATTATATATATATATATATATATATATATATATATATATATATATATATATATATATATATATATATA